AAGCTCTGACGAATACTGAACTCTACAGCTTCCTCCATATTAGGTTACTTTTGTATTACCATTAACGATTATTGCCTACCATATTTAAAAAAAGGTATACTCTGGAAAAAACAAATATTTTTTAAGAGTGACATCGATATTTAGTTAATTCATCCCTTCATGTACGTAAAACAAATATATAATCTAATAATTTAAATAAAACACGGAATCACATCGTTGTTCTCGATTTATATTCGCGCAATTCAGAAATGAAGACTAGTTTTCCCGTCAATCTTATTATAAGTAAACATTTAAATACGTAATAAAAGCTTGTTTTTGACATAAATATAGGAAATAGAATTATGATAACATCATCATTTGCATACGGAAGTCGATGAGAAAATAAATTAATAAAAGACTTATCATTTGATTAAAGAAATATATATACTAATAGTACAAACTATACTATTTAACAGACAAAACGTACAATAACGTAAACATTCAAAAGTATCGCTAAATATTTATTGAAAGTGTAAAAAGTAATTTCAATCAATAAGAGTAATATCGAATTACATTTACAAAATGTATGCTTTGGAACTAATGGATAGTTTCCTCAGTGGATTTAACTAAAAAACCCTTAGGAAATGAAAAACATAAGTACGCTGTGAGTGGGTGACCATGGCTAAAGATGCAGGAACTTCCGTCTGGATTCGACCTTCTTAGTACCACTTACGTGCAACGTTTTGGCTTGCATTTATTTTTTTATGATATAAACTAGCTTACGCCTGCGACACCGTCCGCGTGAAATTAAAAAAAAAATGTAAGTAGCCTATGTGTTCTTCCAGACTATCTTCTACATCTGTACCAGATTTAATCGTAAATGCGTTCAGCCGTTTATGCAAATTCTAACAAACATCCATCCATCCAAACTTTCGCGTTTATAATATTAGTGAGATAAGTAAGATTACAAAATACAAAAGCAGTGAAGAAAATGATCCAAATAATCCTATCTGTTTATCCAAATTTCGCAATTTTTTAAATTTACACATTGACATTTGTTAATCTCGTATACAAGTTAAAATTGATTAAAATTTGGGTTATAACGTTCGAGTCACAAACTAATTTAAAGTTAAAGTGTTTTAATAACTAAAGGTGTGCTGTGTTGAAAATAGCCGCCTTGGCCAACATATGGGCCGATGAACTCTACTTCAAGAGTAAGAATCACAATTTGTTCGAATAAAACTAAGTTTATCTTACATCGTGCCATTGACGAATGCTCTAGAATTTTTCGTATAGAAGTCATTTATAACTACAAAGAAAGTGTTATTTTATAATCTGTTATTTCCATAAAAACGAAAAGAACAGATAAAAAAAATTAATCGTAAAGATTTAATCGGACACGAAAAACAAATGAAAATCTCTTTTATTATAATACTTGTGAAAATTTGCTGGTTACCTACTTTAGAATAAGTAAAAAAAAGAATACAAGGTCATTTTTTACCAAACGTATACTCGTATGTATATGTAAACGCTCTTAAATCCATTACTCTAATCCGGATAGAAGGAACTAGCAATCAATTTTCGACTTTCTCTGAGTCTATTGTGTCAAGACACGCTGAATGAAATGTAACAATGGATAAACCTTTTGCCAGTCCTCGATTTAAAGTATTATTTTGTTCAGCTTTCTATAAGAGAGATCGTTTTTTGTTTTAATCTTTATAAAGCTTATAATCATATAATTTGGCTAGAACTATCAACACTAGAGTACTGAAATTCTTTTAGTGCTTCCGACTCGCCTGGTCTCCTTTTCATACGAAAGTATCATAGTGGATCCTATTGGAAGTGTTAAGCAAAGCGATTTGAGGTACCGTCTCAGCGGTCAAACAGCCTTGATAGACAGCCGCGTGTTATCTACGCGACTTCCTTGTGATGCTCCCTCACATATCACGTTTCAAGTTCAACCTACAACCTGTACATTAGTACACATACAATGCAAGGAAATAAATGTAAATTATCGTTTTAGAATAGTTATGTGTCTTTGATTTAACATACTCATTTACTCAGTGAAAATTCATATATAAATTGAAAAAATTCTTTGCAAGTTTTAATTTAATACATAACATTATTGTTTTGTCGAAAAACATTACAGTCAAAAAGTATTTAGCAAATAAAATTCCTGTTTAATATCTGACTAAATATAATTGAAACCATATAACGAAATCAAACTATAACTAGTAGTTATATACGCTTATTTAAAAGTCCACAACCTACTCTAATATTTATCACAATAAATGATCAATCAAATGTCTATATTATTATATTAAAAATTAAACACGTTTAATTTTGTCAAAAAGATGTAACCTTCACATAAATACGGAAACGTATGTATAAAGTTCACAGCCTCCACGTAGTACCGTTTACAAGCACGCGGCGCTCTTGGCTTGCGAATATTTTTTTCGCTTTATTTACGCGCCACTATCAAGGTCTTTGACTCATTCGAGTTTATTTTTGTGTCTAACAAGATTTTGTTTATCTTTGTCGCATACGTAATAGACATAGAACATTGCACCCGCTTAACTTTGTAAGTAACTATTTTAAAGTTAAAAAAAGGTTTAGTAAAAAATACCTCAAGATAAGTGTGTTTTCATTTACATAATTCTGATATTAACTATAGGTATAGTAAACTTGCAAACGCCACTGCATTTATGAGACAAAAAACGGCAACCAGTCATTTCGGATGGTTTTGTAAAATTGCAAATTTGTGTCGATTTACCGACTTTTTTTGATTACCTGATTATATTATCGTACATGAAAAAAAAACTCTACATATCAGATAATTTAAATATCCATTGACCATGCTTTCAGTGTCCGGTGGAAATGCACGTCGATCCTTATCAATCGTACGTCGTAACCAACTCCTACGTCAATTGATTGTAAATTGCATTGATGACGCAGAATTTCCTACTCGTAGTGTATTATTTATGTAAAGTATTGCTGCTAAAAAAAGATTATTTTATATATTGATAAGTTGTATTGAGCCAAACTTTTCATTTACGTATTTTATAAATACAATAAGTCTGTCTACACTGTTTATTCAATATCCACCATCAGTCTACCATATGAATGTATATTTTACTTGACTTTGCGATAAAAAACTAATTTCATCCAAACACAATTCAAAAGATTGCGTTAGTAATTGCTTTCTATTTGAGATCATAACGATTGTAGGTGAGCTTTGCACTTTTTTTTTAATATTAGTACATTATTGTGTATTCATTAATAAGTTTAATAAACATTATTTCTAAAATCAAATAATTGACAGTAATTACAAGTTAACGTTGACATTGCCCGTTAACCTATCACAGCAATAAGAAGTGTAATTATTCAATTAGGTTTTCTCCAAATTAAAAGAGGAACAATTATAAGAAAGTTGCTTTCGGTGTATCGTCCTAAATATCGGCATACTTGTACTCATCATACTTATAACAGTTTAAAGGGTGTAAATGTCGGATCAATTAGCTGCTGTTAACTGAATCGCAGACCCTTCTGGCATACCTTATTGTGGACGTGGAGAAAGTTAAACGCTTGGATGGGCACGTTTTCTTTTATGGTTTCCCAACTTGATTATTGTGGCCTTTTAAGTTTTTTTTTTAATCTTTATATGCTTTCTTTTATAAAAGAAATTGAATGAAGTATATTTAACAGTATTCAATAAATAAAATTGTAGATTTATTTGTACGTTTCTAAAAATAAACTACGAGAAAGAGCACATGTCGATAGTGAGCTCATAAAATTCATGACCGTGAATTTACGTAAAAAGCATGGCCGTCGAATTCCAATACGTTATCAGGGTTATAAAACGTCACACATAGTAAATGAATACCGCACGGGATCGGAATAAAACTTAGTGTCATGCATTGAAACACGTAGTTAGCATTAATGCTACTGCATAAAAGAACCTAATCATTATAAAGCATTTAAAAAATAATAACGTAAAGAATAACATTATTTTCTTCTTAAATGTAGTTATCGCTACGCTTTCTATTCGACAAGCTTTAATGAAAATTATCACATACTTTTTTAACTAAATTTAAAGTTTCATGAGTTTGCAAGATTATGAGTTCATTTGAAAAGAATCTTATAATAACAAATTGTACTACTTTGAACTAAAAAAGTGATGCAAGATCGTTACCAATCCATAATCGGACCTTATTTTATAAGAAAACCTGAAATGCCTCCGGGATGTCGTAAGTGACGTGTATTCTATAGCAATTAAAAAAAAATCCTTTTATGTTATTGTACTTCTTACTTTTTACTAATGTTATAAATGGAAAAGTTTAAATTGCTGGATGTTGGTTAGAATTTGTAGCTTGAATTACTTAACGGAACTCGATGAAATTTGGCATAGATGTATAGGTAGTCTGGAAGAACACGTAGGCTATCTTTTTATTTAATTCCACGCCGACGGAGTCGCGGGTGAAAGCTAATAAAACATGTTATCTTATGTTTAGTTACTACAAACGATTAAGGTCAGATTTGTCCTTATGGAATTCTCTTTTAAAGCAGGAAAGATCACCAGGATAAGCCAACATTGATTATCAATTGACTGCTTTGTATTGCACGTGTGTTACTCGCGAGTTTTCCTTCACCTTGCAGTCACATAAATTGTCCTGACATCGAGTTACACACGTACTATGATAATTCTTCCTACATTACTAATAAGAGACTGCTACATTACTCTTTATTGTTATAGAGATTAGTAGAGAGAATATTTCAACCCAAGACTTGTAGAAAAATTCACGGTTCAATTAAGGAGTTTTCATTATGATGTTTATGATATATTCATGTAATTATTTTTTTTAATATGATAGATATTTAAAAAGATTAGACGAAACATTGCACTGGCAAATTAGTGCAAACAATTGATGTTTGTTTACTTAATGTGTATGACATTAAATAGCGATGTATTTTAATTTCGTAATAATTATTATTGTTATTAAAGTTTGTCTTTTTATCAACAGGAATAATGACACTCAGCCGCGGCCCGTGTGACCTCGACAACATGAGTCTGTTTCAAGACCTCAAATTAAAGAGGCGGAAAGTTGACTCCCGATGTAGTAGTGATGGTAAGTTGTTTTTTTTTAATACAGTTAGTGGTTAAACAGTTCGCATGATATTACTGAGTTAATTTTAAATAAAGATTTTAACCCTTATTTTTTTTTATGTTTCTCAAAACAGGTTATGGCTCAAAATCGAACGATTAACCACTAAGCTATAGTTAAACTTTTTAAAATTATTTCATAAGAATCCCGTTTGTTGCAAGAAAAAGAGCATCTTTTTTCAAGATTAATATTATATTCATGTTATAAAATACGCAATAGTAGGTATCCCTTATGTTGTAACTTTTAATGTTTTTTTTTTTTCCTTAAAAGTTGACAGCGTCACTATAGTCGTGGTCTACTTATATTACACGAAAAAAAAATCTTCTTAAGTAAGTTGTATTTATAAAAATCACTAGTAATCATATTTAAATTCGACATATAAAAATAGTTTTTGGATATTTAATAGGAAATATAAACTACAAACCAATGTTGTTATTCAATAATTCACAAGGCAACATCTCATGAATTTGCATGACCGAGCAATGGTATAAACAGTCGCGGATATTTGACTGGCCTGGATTGTATAAATTCGGGGAGCTTTACGACTTAGTACTACTGGCCCAATGCCTACCAGGCCAATGTCGGTCGAAATTTCAAGGCAACGAGACAAACAAACAACACAGACAAATATATAAAGTCTTATATTTCGTATTATAGAATCTTATTATAAGGACCATTTTTATCTAAATGCAATAAAATATAAAAAAAATAAATATAAAAGCTATCATTTTTTAAAATGTGGCCAGTAACTAAATATAAAATTCGTTGCGGTTAAATGTTTCTGTTCGGAAATCAAAATTAATTTTAAATTTCAAACAAGTCGTGAGTTATATCGTTAGTACTTCGTTTTTTGAGCCAGTATATTTCTTTGCAGCCAGTATAAACAATGAACGGCAGTGTAACAGTGTAAGGTCAGGAACGATGTCTATTGTTATTCGAGATGTGTTCACTATTGCTGTTCGGCTCACGGCGCGCCTGTCACTTTCGAATGCGATGGTGAATTCACATCGTTACCCGTAATTTCATTTTCATTCGGACGTGATTATATTAAATAAGATGTTGGATCGGTTTATCGCTTTAGAACTAGCTAACATTGACTTTAAAACTTAAAGATAAATTTATTCTTTTGTCAGTTATTGAGCTGTTCACGTAACTCTTTAATTCAATAATAAATTAAATTTTACTTTCTAACACAAGGTAACATCGATCTAATCAAATATCGATAAAAAAAACTATAAACACATCTCTTCGTATAACATTATGCAAGACGAATTTCAAACATATGTTCGATAACTGTCGTCATCAACGGAAAGTTGAATAATAACCGACGCTAAGCTTGTTTTTGCGTGAGAGAGTATCAACAGGTTCCGAGAAATGCTCCGACTTTCACTTAAAACTGAATAAAAATCATCCGAAACAGTATCCGGTTTGACGAGTTGTTAGCAATGTACAATGTCATAACGTTTAAAAAGATATAAAAGTATATTTAGTTATATCTGTAATGTATTATTTATTTACTAATAATTTAATAGCAAAATAAGTACGACCGTTGATTATTCATTATTTCCTTAAGTTCAGTCGTGTATGATTAATATGAAGCTACAATTTAAAAATAAGACAATTGTTTCTAAATCACATGTATTTATTAAGGAGCAAAATGATTAATAAGGAAAAAGAAACAAAATAACACAGAAGGTTTCACAAAATAGTTATCGTATTAGTATATTTGCTTATGGCAACACTATAAACAACATTATAAACGTAGTTCACTTCCCTTCTTGATTTAAATTTCGTACATAAATTGGCTCGATTATTCTGTGCTACTTGCCTCAATTGGCTTCTAGCAAATTCCTTATAACGGATACAACAATAGCTGTCAATAATAACCATATCTTTGTTATAAATAAAATACCTAATACTATAATGTTAGCAAAATCAGTTGCTCACTATTGGGATATCGGAGTAGAAGAGCAAAAATGTAAAGATTAAATATACAATCAGTCACTTCACATACGTTAAGAGAATGAATAATCAAATGCATCATTAAGGTTGCACAGTAAAGCGATAATGTTTTACGTCTACACGAAATGACGAAATACGAGTCGCGTGTTTTAGAATCGATTCTTGACGCAAACAGTATTAAAAGAAAGAACGTCAATCGATTTATGACGACTTTTTTTCGATCTGGATTAGTAACAGAACGTTTTTACAATTCACCACATTTGTTGTGTAACGTACGAGGTGAGCACAATTGATAAAAAAAATTACGTAAAACCTCAAGAGGTGAAAGCAAATGAAGATCGATGCCGTAATTATTGATATTGTAACCTCGTGAATAAATCATAAGAGAAAGATTTATTGTCGGACAACGATCTTTTTTTGTTTTATATTCAAAATTCCAGTTTACAATTTACGAATTAGTTCTTAAATTTAAAGGATTGGCTTAAGCTTGCTAGAGTTTACTTTGAAGCTTATCCATTTAACATAAATGACAACTCGGAAATTATTTGGTTATTTTGAATCTAATAATTATCAATTTAACTAATGTAGACACGTTTATACTAGATTGCATAAACTAAATATTCGTTTATTTGGTACTCGAAGGAATAAAAAATAGGTCAAGCGCTTTCCAATTATTTATAGATTCGCTTGGATTTAGATAACGGATCGTGACGTCGCGTCGGGAGGCGTGTTAGGGGTGTGACGTGGTGTGACGCAAGCCCGGCATCACTGTGACGCACCCCTAGCGTTCACCTAACCGTTTTTATCTTTGGATTTTTTTTGTGCATTGAGCTGTTATAAACATTACATCACGTTATGCAGTTTGTTTAAGATAGATGTAGAAAACCATTGCGTTTTTGCTTTAATACGTGACGCTACTTGTCTACAAAATTTTTAAATAAAATTATAAGACTAGTAACGAAGTACAAATTACGAGTCAATGTATTCATTAGAGCCGAAGGTTCACCGATAGCGAGTGGCCATGAGTAAACTACTACGCGCTTTTGTACTTAAATACAGAGTTGCTACCAAGCTACTGATATACTACACTACTTTGTATGTAATAATGTTTGTACGCTTTAATATTTGAACTTTAAATAGAATTAGTAAAATTGTTTTTGATCGGTAGGTCGAACTGTCCAACAGGAAACACCAGAATTTCACAACATTTTCAGCGACAAAATGAAACTAAATTAACTTAGAAATATAAGAAACATAAATTAGAACACTTTACTACTACTATTATATGACATATATATTGAAATTGAATAATAATTTAAAAATAGAATACTTCCTTTCCTTACTAAAATAAACATTACAATTTAGAATTCTGTGATGTCTTCACTCAACTTCTTATGCCGGAAATCAATGGTATTCGGTATAATTAGGGAGGTTCGACAACCCTGGCGCAGAAATAGCAGGCGGGACACGTGGCGCCGAGGCGAGGGGCCGCACCTCCTCACGTAGGGGTGTGACCTACTTCTCTCCGTGTCGCTGACCGCTAGCGACCTTCGAGTATGCATTCTCCGATAAAAGATCTCTTTCACCGAAGCGGATTTTATGTAACGTAATAAACCTTATTGTTGTCTATTTTAAGACAAGAAATTTGTAGTGTAGTTCATGCGTAATGCGAATATATCTGTC